CAGTGTTATTTATTTATTTATTTAAACACATAAACATTAGTGCAAAAGGATACCAAAATAAATATACGTCACACACTAAAAATGAGACTGTGAAGAGATAGAAGAAGAAAGATGAGTATAGAAAAAAAAGTATAGAACAAAACTGAATTAGTGTATGGGAGTGAAAAGTAGTAATAATAATAATAATGGGAGAAGCAGTTCAGTTAAGAAAAATACAACCAGAACGAAATATTTCAGTTACAGAAGTTACTCTCACTTATATGAAGTAAGTAAACGAAATTTATAGCAGGATCACCACTTGCTTCTATACTAAGCTGTGTCTGATAACGTCTCTAGCCAATGTATTTCACTATCTTCTAGAACCCCAACCAGGGAATTGTTAAGGTCTGACAATCACCATATCATACACTCGCCATCCCTCCGTCTTTTCTGACCAGTCCCAGAAAAATCTGTAGACACAACTTTGTGCATAACTAAGAGGACCTCAAGTTTGTGCTGATGATGTCGTTTAGAAGAACGATGAAAGCTCCACGACCAAACTATCCAGCTCAAAGAACAAAACTCCATCAAGAACAGGACCTTTCTCTTTATTCAAACTAATTTATTTTAAAGTGTTTTAACACTTCGCAGCTCTTTTGGGACTATTATATGTTACCCTTGATGTGTGAAAGAAGTGAACAGAAGATAATGCAGAAGTTGGAGTTTTATTATTATTATTATTATTATTTGATGAATTATTTTGTATATTTCTAAACAGTATTTCCAAATGGGTTATGCTATTTCCTATTTTACATAGCTTTAATTGTGAACTTCAGTTAATTTGTTGATTATCAGTTGTTTAACCATTTAGTATATTATTGTTATATTCATGTAAATAATGAATCAGAATAATAAGGATACTTATAACCTATTATCTGACCTGTGGTTACTATAATTAAAGATTTGAGTAAGTGGGAAATTCCATGGCTCAACGAAGCAGTAATACCACTGAACTAGTTATGGTTAGTCTCGTACACAATGATATTTCGGACTAGTATTTATCGTATACATATCGTAACAGTATATGAACAATTTAAAGGTACGGTATTTATTTAACTGACAACTATATCGTCTACTTTCGACATCATTTGAATTGGACGTTTTTTTTTAATTGAGTAAAACAAGAGTAAAATAGTTTTTATTTTCTTAATCAATTATTTTGACACATATCACTTGGTCACATACACCAACATATTCTAAAACGTACACGTTAGTTAATATACAGTGGTAATGTTTTAATTAAAAGAAGTATATAGATTTTTAAAAAAAAAGGAAATTATCTACTTCAGCAACTGTAGTATTTAATACAAACAATGTAAATTACTACTTCATTTATGTGTATATACATGTATTTCAATTATTTAGTTTCTTTTCCAATACAAGTGTTTCTTACATTCATATTAGTTAAATAGAATAGGATGGGTTTATGCATTCCATGTGTTTTATATGACTTTTTATTTCATGTGATTCTAAGTCATATGACTATAGATTATACAATAAATGAAATAACTATTCCATTTTGAAACTGTTTTACACTACAATATTATCAGCTGGTGAAAATTGAAAATTAAGTTAAACACCACGTTTCTTATCAATGTTGATACCCAAATAAATATCAATTTGAACCTGGAACTTTTGATCATTATGCACTGTTAACTTCTGTAAAAGGTGTGATCGATAAACGAACTCACTAATGATAAAGTGAAACGCCCACCACCACCACCACATTAACTTTCTTTGACCTTGTATGACTATGTCTTGTTTATTCACCAGTCACAATTTTATGTTCATTATAAAACAATATTTGCCTTGTTGACTCATTATATGAAGTAAACGAAATTTATAGCAGGATCACCACTTGCTTCTATACTAAGCTGTGTCTGATAACGTCTCTAGCCAATGTGTTTCACTATCTTCTAGGACCCCAACCAGGGAATTGTTAAGGTCTGACAATCACCATGTCATACACTCACCACCCCTCTGACTGAGATATCTGCTCACTGAAGACAATGGTATACGGTAGCGCAACTTCGTGGATTGATTGAAGTTAGACATTAACACCATTGGATGCCGGCTCAGTGGTCTAGTTTGTTAAGCGCTTGGCGCGAGACTGATAGGTCCTGGGTCCGAACCTCGCGGGGTGCGGGATCGTGGGTGCGCACTGCTGAGGAGTCCCACACTAGGACGAAACGGCCGTCCGGTGCTTCCAGGTTTTCCATGATGGTCTAGCTTCAATTGACTCATGATTTCAATCTGAAATTTCTAAAATCTCCACAAATCGCTTCTGATCATTTTTCATATTCTCTAGTTACTATTCGGTATGTTATTTATGTCTTTGTTTTTTCCCTGTGTTAATAGACTGTACTGTTTGTTTTGTACATTAACGGTGTTAATTTATGTTTTAAAAACAGATAGAGTTTATCAAGCCAAATAGCTTACTTGTTCTGACTTTGGCTAAACCAAGACTCTGTGCTCGACAATCTAGAGAATAACTTAGTTACACCTGTAGGAAATTGCTTCCTACACTTCCTCTCAAATTAAGTTAAAGAAATTTATACTATATATAGTTCCTTTTTACTAAATTAAAGAGAGGAAAATAAAAATTTGAGCAGAATAACATGAATTCATATTTCGTTAGATTCGCATCAACTCCCTACAACTTCTAATGTTGTAAATTAAACTTACAGAAATGAGTTTTGTTAAAAGTTAATGTGAATATGTATTAACACAGTGTTGCAAATATTCTTTTTTAAAAATTATTATTGTTATAACGGTTGGTTTTCCAAGTTTACACATATGGGACGTTAATTTATCTTAGATGAATATCTACCCTAGATTCCTTCCCAGTGTCTATTCTACAGGACTTCAAAACAACTCAAATCAAGAACACGTGATTAGTCTAACCAAAACCCAACACAATCCAACAACAATGAACAATCAATAATAATAATTACAAGGATAGGGGAATCTATAACTCATCTTATATCTTATACGAATATTCGTCAAGATTAGAACGAATAGTTTGACAGTAATTGAGCGCCGAGTATAGAGAAGTCATTATATGTAAAAATTATATTTGAAATATTCTCAGCGATTGAAATTTAACTAATTCCAACGTTTCGTCCAGCTAACTTGTCTGGACTTCTTCAGGGTAATAATCAAAATCAAAATTATCAAAGAACTATATAGCTTTTAACAATCAGGATTATACTGTGTTAAACCAATCATATTTGGGTGTTGATTTTTTGTAAAATAGGATAAAATGAGTCAGTTGACTACAAATCATGTGATGAATTCAACTACATGGAAATACTTAACTGAGTAACAAATCGTATGTGTGTGAGTGTGTATGTATGTATGTATGTGTGAGAGATTGATATGAAGGAATAAATAAAGTTCAAGTTCAAGGATGAAAAACTTGATAATGAAAGATCGATGTGCATATCAAAAACATAAATTGTATTAGAGAACGTATACACAAGGCCACTATGAATTTGGAGGCACTACGTTCAAGGGTTTGTAATATCGATGACATATTGTCAGTTATCGCACCGAACGAAATAAGATCATATATTTTTCAAACATAGAGAACAATTTTATTATCAATCATCAAAACAACGACAAATTAAGAAGTTTGAAAAACTATTGAAACATTCATCAAACACCAAAGTTCAACAGACGGAAAATAGATCTAACACAAATGATATGAATAAAATAATTGTTAATTTATCGGATAGACCTCTCAACCCACATGAAATATCATTACTCAAAAAGGGTCTCAACTTCAATATAAATAGACATAAATTAACACCTTTCAATGTTATACCAACAGTAGAACCAGCGCTGAATATACTCTCGAATGATACAGCGAATGAACTGAGGAATAAAATAATGAACACATTATTACATCAGAAACATCACAACCCTAACATAAATAAAAATGAATATTACGCATTAAAACAGCTGAGAGAGGACAAAACGATCATAATAATGAGAGCAGATAAAGGTAATACTACAGTTATTATGAATAAAACAGAGTATGAGAAGAAAGCCAAAGAACATCTACAAGAGGGTCCATATGAACAAATCAAAGAAGCGAAAAGTAGAACAACTCTTAATAAACTCAAGGCGCAAACTAGCAAACTCTTACAGTCATTAAAAGCTAAGCTAGGATCGTCCTTATGGTTTATGTTATATCCAAAGAGTTGTAATCCATGCAGATTTTATGGGCTACCAAAGATCCACAAGAATAATACACCACTAAGACCAGTGGTAGACTATACAAATTCACCGACCTACAATCTAGCTAAATATTTAGCTAAGATTCTCAAACCATATGAAAAGCGGATTAATCATGGAATTAAAAACTCTATGGAATTCAAGAATTTAATTGATACCATCGATATAGAAGAAGACGAAATAATGGCAAGTTTTGATGTATCTTCCTTATTCACTAATGTACCTATCAGTCGAGCAATTGATATTATCAATGATTGTTTAGAATCTGATTTAGATTTGAATTTACGATGCCCATTAGATCCATCAGAGGTTATAAAATGCTTAGAATTATGTTTAAGATCTACCTTATTCATATTTCGAGGTCAACTTTACAGACAGAAAGAGGGTATAGCAATGGGCTCACCAGTTTCTCCGATTGTAGCGAATTTGTTCATGCATTCCCTAGAAACTAGTGCAATCGCAAAGAGTTTATGTCCACCAAAGTTATGGTTAAGGTATGTAGACGATATTTTTATTATCAATAAACGAGATGGTATGGAAGAACTATTTAACAATGCAAACAGCATTTCTGAAAACATTAAACTAACTAAGGAATTAGAATCAGTGGACCACAAACTAGCATTTCTAGATTGTCTGGTTGAACGTCGACACAATAATAAGAAGTTAAAAATAAATGTTTACAGAAAATCAACGCATTCCGAGAGATACTTGGATTTTAATTCAGCCCATTCACAGAGCACAAAAATTAATGTAGTGAAAAATCTAATGAACAGAAGTACTAAGATTGTTACAGACAAGGAAGACCAAAGAACCGAATTAAATAAAGTATTTTCTACTCTGAGGGATAACAACTACCCAAAAAGGTTTTTAAAAAAGATTATTAAAAATGAAAGAAAAACTAAACTAGAAAGTATACGAAAAGAATGGAAGTACACCGTAGTCATACCTTACCGGAGTGAAACATCAGAAGAAATCAAACGGATTCTAAACAAACATGATGTAAGAGTGTATTTTAGAGCAAATAACACATTAAGATCGACATTGGTGAAAGTTAAGGACAAGTTAGCAAAGGAAGAACAACAGAACTTTGTGTATGAGATTCACTGTCATGACTGTAATGCTACCTATGTTGGAGAAACATCCAGGCAATTAAATGTAAGATTGAAGGAACACAAACAATGCTTGAAAAATATTCCAAAATCCTCGGTAGATTTAAAGAAACTTGAAAATAAGTCAGCGATAGCGTTACATGCGTTAGAAACAGGACACAAGATTAATTTTGAAGGGACCAAAATACTTCAGAAAGGTTTTAACACCCATAAAGAAAGATTGACAGCAGAAGCTCTGCATATATGGGCGAACAAGAACAGCCTGAACCGAAAAGATGGTATTCAAATGGCAACTACCTGGCAAATTCCGTTTGACAAGTAAATTTGGAACCTATCTCTTGTTTAAACCTGTTTTTAATATCACATGCATCGTTATTATTATTATTATTGAAAGAACTGAATGAGTTTCTAAACAATACAATTTATGTTTTTGACATGCACATCGATCTTTCATTATCAAGTTTTTCATCCTTGAACTTGAACTTTATTTATTCCTTCATATCAATCTCTCACACATACATACATACATACACACTCACACACATACGATTTGTTACTCAGTTAAGTATTTCCATGTAGTTGAATTCATCACATGATTTGTAGTCAACTGACTCATTTTATCCTATTTTACAAAAAATCAACACCCAAATATGATTGGTTTAACACAGTATAATCCTGATTGTTAAAAGCTATATAGTTCTTTGATAATTTTGATTTTGATTATTACCCTGAAGAAGTCCAGACAAGTTAGCTGGACGAAACGTTGGAATTAGTTAAATTTCAATCGCTGAGGTTATTTCAAATATAATTTTCATCTTATATCTATCAGACTATCTACATGTCTGACTAAGTAGACAACCAATCATTATCTTTCTCGCCCACATATCAATTATTTTGTACTATATGTCTAATTGTCACACCATAATCCGTCATTCTAATGTTACGATTTATTGATTTTCGGATAAGTAATAATAGGTTAAACGTAAAGTTAGAAGTAACATACATTTAAAGAGTAAAGTAATTTTGAAGTGCAATTTAATTAACATTCTCAAAATATCTATGATTGTAACGAGTTGCATCATAAAGTTTTGTGTATAGTTCAATGTATGGAAATTGGTGACAATTTATTCATAACTTTCTCAGTGTTATGAAGAATATTTGCCATACTGGAAATATATATTTGTAGTTATCAACATGAAAATAATTCACTTCATTAAATGATTAATGTCATATGAAATAAAGGATATATATTTTAAGGTCTGAGTTTTCCTATTGTTGATAATAATGACTGCATTTGATCAGTCTTCAGTAGCATATGTGCTTCCTAAGCAGGTTCACTCTATATTATCCGTGAACAAATGTTACAGGAAAATTAAATTGTGATTAATAGTGAAATCCAGGATGAGCGTTCTGTCCTATGTTAAGAGAGATTGATCAAATACAGTCTTCAATAATGAGAATTCAAAACCCCTACATGTATAACTTCATATTCGTTAGACAAGCTAGTTGCTGCATGGACTCAGTAGCTCAGTAAAGGACACGTTGGCGTTTGAAGTGAAACGTATGGGGTCCAGTCAAAGAAATTTCTTCTCTCTGTTTGTTCTGTTTATTAACTAAATATTTAACATAGATTTTAATTCAACTTAGTTACCTTCATTATTAATGTAGTGATTAGGGGTAAACCACTTATTTATACAGTCTATCAACTTATCGTAAACCAACATTTACTTTGAAATTTTGTTTCCTAAAGGATAGATGCAAAAATCTGTTATCTATAAACTTATTTATAAATGTATGTCAATCACAACTGCAAAAAAAAAACAAATGAGAGGGAAAATCAAAGCTAAATCTTTTTTATCAAAATATTTTTTAACTTTACGTATCCTTCAATAAATGTCCTTTAATACATTTCATAAATTGTACTATTTACTGGAAAGAATAATTATATTTATCAAATGATGGTAGACTGACAAGCATAACATCATGGACACATTATTACTGTTTATCTTTGCAAGGATATCGAAACATCAATATATACATATATTTCAAACAAATAATGGTGAGAGAGAAGACATGACTTTGCAAGATAGCCTTAGTGTTCGAAGAAAAGATGATCGACGTCACAGTATATATATTAGGTGCTATATTGTAGGTGAATTATAACCCATCACTGAGTTGCTAAGATCACACTGAGATGTGAAAGGTCACAATAAAAATAATTTGGGTCAACCCTAACAATGTCATGACTTTTTTCCTATTATTTGACAACTTGAACACTAATCTGTATTATGGTCAGTATTGATTCCTATTTTGATGTTGAACTTATGGAGACACTGAATAATAGACCTTCTAACTAATTATGGGATTTATATCATTTAGGTACATGATAAAGTTATTGGATTTTGACTAACCCCTTGAAGTGATAAACAAATTTTGTAAATTTGTTACTAGTTAGTGAAAGTACTATGCTCTTTATATATCTGTCTTCAAATCAGATCGATACCTTGACACACTAGTTAGTCTTCCGTAGTGTGATAACCCGATCAAGTTATATTGGCTGGAACATTTTTTCTCTGAGGCTCTAATATATCAGACTGATGTCATCAAAAGTGGCTGGTTTCCAATTTGTGGGGTCAGTTTTATTGATGAATGAAAATTACAGGAGATTTGGGTTAATTTTTGTACTACTACAACTTTACTGTGGAACGCAGTTACTAAGACCTTTAGTTGATAAGATAGGAAACTCATTGGTTAACAGTAAAAACATTCATGAATGATACTCATTACTTATTTCCAAAATTATCATAAAGTTACAATTTAATGAACAGAATTCATCACAGTAAAAATAGTCAGCCTTCCTACGAACTCTGATAGTCTAAAATTCGTAATTGAAATCTCATCCGATTTTTTACAAAAATGTGGGAAACATCTTCTAAAATTCAGTAATAATTTTTTTAGAATATTAAAGATTCCCATTGTGAAAATTAGAACAACACATAAGCGAACAATTGTTTTCAATTAGATCGTCATCAGGCTTTACTCTAATATACATGAATATTTATACGAAAATTTTAAACCAATCAAGGCCATATGGGTCAATCATGACAATGAAATAGAATTAGTCTCTACACATAATAGGTAAAAGTACAAGTCGATAGTAGTAGGAAGACAGGTGAACTGATAATAGTGAGAATAATAAAAAATACAATAACAAAAGTCTTATCAATAGTTAAACATTGGAAATAGAAGGTCAAACAAACATGGGTAAATAGACTAGGAATAGTAATCACAAAACATTTAAATCATTACGTAATAAGATGTGTGTAAATAATTAGATAGTGAAGAATACAAAGAGGCGGAAAATTACAAACAAATAATAGATGTGGAAATAAGGTTAACAATAACACAGATAGAATAAAATAAATAGTGATAATAATAAAATTTAAAATAAAAATAAAAAATAAAAAATTGTTAGTTAAGTTATAACTGGCCATGGAAGGGATAGGGGAGTCACGTATTTCTTCTGTACACATAAATTGGGGTTATATATACGAATTCCAATGGCTTCAGCTATATATAGGAGACGGGAACGGACTTCGTCGGGAAATGATGGAGGTATACGATAGATAACTCGAAATGATTTCGATTTATCTACTGCATGACCGCTATCAATAAGATGTGCCAATATAGAACTGCGAATAGTTTTTCTCTGGCCCTTTATGTACCAAGTTGGTAGATGTTCACTCATTCGTTGGTTAATTTGCCTGGTAGTACGCCCTATATAGCTATCTCCACAGGAGCAGCTGAATTTGTAAATGCACATGGAAGAGGCCAACTCAGGTAACTTATCCTTCGTTTGAGTAGACATCGCTGGTCGACAAGAGAAGGTCAACGCAAGATTGGCTGCGTAGAATGTCCTGGTGATTACTTTGGTTAACCTATATTTCAGAGTGTCACTAGCCACATCCTACTACTATCGACTTGTACTTTTACCTATTATGTGTAGAGACTAATTCTATTTCATTGTTATGATTGACCCATATGGCCTTGATTGGTTTAAAATTTTCGTATAAATATTCATGTATATTATAGTAAAGCCTGATGACGATCTAATTGAAAACAATTGTTCGCTTATGTGTTGTTCTAATAATTTTTTTGAAATCAGATCTTTTACACAGTCAATCAGTCACTCAGCTACAACGTAGGACCAGGCACATATATGCATCGGTCCAAGTTGCCATACCTCATTAACACAACAAGATGGACACCGGATTCATAAAAGTAGTTAATTCAGAGGTGGTAATTTTAAAAGAAAGATTGCAATAAGGATATAGTACAGGAAGAAAGAATTAGTTCGTATCATTGCACGGATCTTTTACACAATAAAGTTTAATTTACATAATTCTGATGACGTTTTTACCCATAACTTGATAATATAAACTAATAATTTACACTAAACCATACCTGATTCATTTTATCGAGGCATCTCATATTGGTTGATTACTAATTATTCACATGTTATGAACGTCTTCTTTATTTTACTCCAGAGATTCTAATAGATTTTCATTTTTTTTCCAGTGCAGTACTCTCGATGAATATTTTCTATTTAGTTTACATTTGAAAAACATACTAGTTTGAATATTATTAGTTTTCTAATCTGTTTCACAAAATAAGAATGATTAAATGAATTCAATCTCTGCTTGAGATAGTTTATGAATGGTAATTGATAACGATGAGAAAACTAGAAATTAAGAATATGAACCATCTTTATTTCAACTTCACTTTAGAAGTTGTCGATATACACACTATTGAAATTTTTGGTCGAGTTAGTGAATGTTCTGACTTTCTAATCCGTTAAAATTTTCCTTTTGTATGCATACTAGTGATGATCCCGTTTTATACTAATGATACAGTTACCTACAACGTTGATTGTCTCACGCTGATCTTTCAGTCCCCAACCTGCTCAATCAGAACACGAAGAAAGTTAGCCCGATTTAGCTTATACATACTGTGACTGACAAACAATTCTATTATATATATGACCATTTTGCATCAATTACAATCTGTACATAACTAGGTCATCCGTAGTACAAACTGAGTGACAGTAATACACTGTAATTTACGAATAGTAAATTATTTATCAATAGTTAATAAGATAAATGAAAGCTTACGATATATTTACCTACGTACCGACAGTCTTCGTCTGAATTTGTTACTGTGTATAGCGTTAGAAACTCTATGATCTGAAAAGCTTTGTCCCAAGTGTTCTCTGTATTCTGTGCTTCTTCTGATATGTGAAGGTCTTCATAATCGAGTTAACAATTGAAAGAAAAGGTAAAGATGACAGTAGACAGCCTTGTCTGACACCAGTCCTCACTTAGAATCCATCTATGAGCTTGCTTATATATACAAC